ATGGTTCATCTGGTATCACCCATGCCTTCAAGCGTTTAGGGTTATCGTAGTAGATCCATTTTTCATCGCCAGTTACGATACGATGTAGAAAACCCTTCCTTTGTTATCATTGACAAAGCATCTTACAGATGACCAAACGTCTTTCCATGTCTCTCTCTTTCAATTTGTATGGCACCCAATTTCCTTCTTTTTGCATCATTCCCATTGCGTGTAGACGTTTTCCAACAGTGGATCTATCAACATTTAACTCTTTTGCCTATCGAGCGAACACGAATCTTCTTCGAGTAATGCTTGCAATTCTGCATCTTCAAATTTTTTCGGTGCACCTTCGCATTCTTTGTCTCGCACGTCAAAATCACCACTGTTGAATCGCCGAAACACTGTTGAAACCATTCTTTACAACTAGTTTTCGATGGAGCATGCTCACCGTAAATATCTACGAGCAAACGATGCGTTTCCGCAGCACTTTTCTTTAAAATAAAATAATGGAGTAAAACTTCCCGCAAATGTTGGTTTTTTGGAATAAATTCCGACATCTTAAACGCAAAAAAAGTTACTCTTTGTTACGCTTCGAACGAATGCCATCTATTGGGCTCAAAAGTTTGGACACATACCTTTCAAAAACGTCTTGCCGTTCTATCAAACACACGAGCAATGCTACTAACGACATCTTTCTGCAATGGGCGGAAACTTATTCCCATACCCAATATATAGGGTGGCATGAATATACGGCCCCACTCATCCCGAGCAGGACTAGAGCGGACTAAACTGAGTAGAAAAATCCTCTACTATTTTGCAATAATTAACGAGATATTAACGTTTAAAGATAGTCAAATACGCGCGTTCGCCCGACTTACTATTGCCGAAGGTACGGCCCATCGAGCGCACGGCTCGCGGGCCGCGAGGAGTGGGAATGGCCTAGCAGGCGCGCCGCGCCGTTCGAGCTTAGAGGCTCGCGACGGTAAGCCCCGCTCCTCGCAGCCCGCACGCTCGGTGGACTGTACTTTCGGCAATAATAGGTCGGGAGGACGTGCGTATTCGATTATCTTTAAACGTTAATATCTCGTTAATTATTATATATATCGAGCATTATAAAATGGTAGAGGACTTTTCTTTTAGTCCACTCTACCTGCTTGGGATGAGTGGGGCCATATATTCATGCCACCCTGTATATATTAGGTATTGGAATTAATTCGTAGCGTTTTACAAGTGATGGGAAGTACTTTCATTAATGTATTTTTTAATGCTCATGTGAAATAAATAACATTCTTTCATTAAAAACGCTACGAATTAATTCCAACACCTAATATATATAATTTATAATAAGACATATATATTAAAGATATCTAAATGATCTCTCTTAAAAAATGTCTTTTAAAACATTTCTAAAAGATACTATTAGACATGTGTCTAATAGATCTCTTACAAGAGATCATTTAGATATCTTTAATATATCTATTACAAATATTTTAAAGATATTTTTTAAGATGTCTTTAAGATGTCTATAATAGACATTTTTTAAAAGTCTTCTACAAAGATATCTTTAATAAAATCTTTTTAGATATTTTTTAGATATCTTCTGGAAATGTCTTGAAGATATTTTTAAAGAGAGATATCTTTTAGATATCTATAAGATATCGTTTTCTGGGTATCCATTTGCTCGCAGTAATACTTGACATCAATACCAATAGCTACAAATTTTGTGGTTATTATATAATTATTGTTTGAAATCGATTGATATTAGGACGTAAGGTCTTCTTAAGACGTACTCTCCTTAAGACATTGTTCCGAAAAGTTAGTGTTTCAAAAATTCGGTAACTTTCTTCTCACTGTATAAATATTACACAATATAATACTATGCAAATTAAAGCACAAAAAATATTTTGCAAAGAACGAAATATACAAAAAAAAAATTAAAAATATATATTAACACTTTTGCAGCCGACTACCAATACTTTAAGTATTCTCAAAAGCAAATTACATATACATGATTCAATTATTACTAGGACCGCGTAAAAGTAATGCACGGATATTAAAGCAACTCGCTACAAATTGCAGACTTCCGATTTTGATTATATTCACATAATTTTGAAAAGTAAAACTGGGCAGTTATCACCCAGTATTGATTAAATCTTGAATTTCCAAATATAATTGCGTAACAGTAATGCACGGAAATGCATATTAAAGCTGCTCATTACAAGTCGCAGATTTTCAACTTTGATCGTGTTTACAATTTCAAAAAACAAAACTAGATGGGCATCACCCAGTAGCAATTAAATCTAGAATTTCTATTAATAAATATAACCGTATACAAGTAATGCACGGAAATGTATATGAAATCCGAAGACTCAAGGATAACCATTTACAAATATAGGAAAGCGTACAGTTAGATCGCCAGTTTGGACCCATTGTCGAAAAAGAATCTTTTTTCAAATATAACCATATATAAATAATATGGAATTTGCATATAACACCAGATGTCTACTAGCACTGTACTTACTTATATACATACGTTTCAGTCACTGGAATTCCATTTATTATCTGTTTTTAATTGAATACAAATTTCCATACAATTATAGATCAATCCTTTATTGGGAAACCTATAATAACTTATTATTAATTTAAACATGGAAATATTTACATACCGGATTATATTATTTCCTGATAAAAACCAGTAAACTTTATGTCGTAAATCCCTTACATGTCCTAACGTATTTGGAATTGCGGATCATAGACAACATTTTTATCTGAGAATCCAACTATGTACTATAAAATGGAAATGCTTATATAACCAGATTTAATATTTACTTGGATGGATTTTATGCCAACGACTGATTTGCCCATGTCTACCCTAATGTGAACGTATATACTTTTAATCTGGACATAACTGGAATTTGTAGCAGGGATATAATGTGACGATAGGTAACGATAGATTAAACTTTTTGCATGTTACTTTAATTATTAATAATAATAAAATCGAATTTGATTGGTACCATAAATTAACATTTTCGGGGAGATATTTGAATTTCTTGTCTCATTATCCGATTTTTCGAAAGAGATTGCCGATTTGGTAGATAGAATTCATTTTTTATAGTATTAATAAACGATTGAAAAACATTATTAATTTTAAGACAAAGAAATGTAATAATGATAATATCGAAAGTGCGGGGCCTTCATGATTTACTGTTTCTTATGTTCCGATACTTTCCGAGAAATTTTATAGATTAAAGCGAGGCTATTAGAATATCATTTTGTAGTGTTAATAAGTTGCGTGAATTCATCAAGGTACATAATCCCCTTTTGCATGAAAAGAAATCTAATGTGATGTACAAGATCTGTTGCAAAGATTGCGATGCGAACTACGTGGGACAAATAGGGAGACAGTTGAAAACAAGAATAGCTGGCACAA